CCTTGATTGCTTACTTCACTCCCAGGTAAACGTGTAAACGGTGGACTAACTTTTAAAATTAGTTTCGTACATCTGGAACCTTGGTACTACTTCTAAGTATATTGGTGATGTATATATGTGTCTTATTCATGTGTTGGGTATGATGTGGAAAATAAGGGAAATAAGTAGTGGCGTTGTTGATGTTATTAGTGTTTGATAAAACGTTATGCGATAATCCGGTGTTCTGAGGTAAACGAGAGTGTCAAATCGCCTTCAGAATTCCGGAAGAAATTCTATTTATCCTTGATGGTGAATTTTCATTTTGTATATAGATGGATGATTTTATGTGTAATATGATAAATGAAATAATTAAACTTGTGTGAAATATTGTTCAATCTAAATAAACATATTGAGGATAAACCCACATAAACCAAGAATACTAAGAAACATTAAATGAGAATATAATCTTAATGGAGAAAATACACTATATTGAATATACTCTATAATTCATTATAATTGCATATTACACGTAATATATGGATAATAAACAATACTTACAGTGCTATATAGATATAATGAAAATAAATAAACCATACTGGAATAACTGAAACATTTTGATATAAGTGACTGAAAGATATTGATTTAATAAAAGCAATCTAACTTCATAATAGACTAGTGATTCTAAGGTACATCTAATACTGCCGACATCTCCGTCTGACTTCGAGGTAAAGGATGGAGTCCTATACCGTTTGAGGCACCTGCCAGGTAAAATTATTCATCAACTTTGTGTCCACCAGAAGCTACAGGATTCAGCCTTGAATGCAACACATACAGCTCCACTAGATATGCACCCAGGGATACACAGGACATGAAAAACCCTGTGGCATGTTCTTCTGGTCTAATATGTTACAGGATGTCAGGAATTATGTGGAAAGATGTCTTACCTGCCAACAATCCAGGGGCGTTGCTCAACGGGTGCCAATGGCGGAAGCGCCTCTTGCTTTGTACTCATTAGAACTAGTTTCGATGGATATTCTGGATGGAAGTCAAACGCCAATGAACTAGGCTTTATCCATTGTTGCCCAACATACCCGCTTCATTCACATTGTCCCAATGAAGGATATCACTGCCTCCAAAGTACTCTAAGCATTCTTGGATCACCGGATAACTTATTTTGGTCCGCTTCGTATCATCCAAACTGATAATGGGTGGCAATTTATTGCACAGATATTTAGTAAACTTGTTGAGCTGCTTCAGTCCTCACATCACTTCATAATTTGGTACCGTCCTCCCGCAAATAGGCTTGTAGATCATACAAACCAGGTTGTGAAAGCTGCTCTAAGGTCAGTTGTTGGAGACTGCCTGGCGTAAGTTTATACCAGACCTGCGTCTAGCTCTCAATTCAGCCATACACCGGAGAACAGCTATTATATCTGTCCACAGGGAGACATGCATACTTCCCTGTGGATTTAACAAATGAAGCTTTATTTGCTGAAAATGACGATCAGAGTGTGGCATTAGTCACACTCTGATCAGTGTGGCTAATGACACACTGATCAGAGGCATGATGTTAGCTGCAGTCATTTAGGGATCTTATGCCATTTAGCCTTTGGCTTAGTGCCTCACAGGGACAAGGAATAATGTTATACGTTAATAGGGGCCTCAATGCCAGAGAGTTTCAGCCTAGTGCCACTTTGGTTTTGGGATAGCTGTTACCTGTGGTTTGTTGGAGGATTATGTTATGCGGCATCCGCAAAGAAGGATGTTCTACTCTCGCTTCCATCCACTTCCAGCTGAGGAGGAATAAACTGCTGACTCCTGGAGCGGCTCCTCAGTTCTTAATCACATTATATCTACTCAACGTTCCTAATTTTATATTTATTTTTATCCTTCAAGGATCGTATTTTCACGCCATGCCCACTCCTCATGCACGGTCAGGACTCAGGCTTCTTGTATTTTCCAGGTCTCCACTGTGTTTCGACGCAGGGCGGGGAGGAATCTGGAAGGTGGCATCCTACATCCCGCCATCTCCCCTCATCTCTTCTCATCTCGCCACCGCAGTCTCGCGCGCCCTGACATCTCGCCGCCCGCTCAACGCTCGCTGCAATCGCTGTTTTCCTTTTTCTGTCTACATATGCTGGCTTATTTTCGTTTTATTATTCAAGTTTGCGTTGGTTCAAATAGGTCACTTCCGTTTGAGGTTGCCCTTTGACCCCGTACTCTTATCTGCGATGTAGTTATATCTAAATAAATCGAGAGTTTGAGAGTCAGTTTTATGATTCAAAATCATCACTTATTTTTATTTAAACCTTTGGTCCATATTTCCTACCTACGAAAGCTTCGTTCTGATTTTAAGAAATGTTTGTTTTAACGTTATATCTTACCAACTGTACGTCTTTCTGCCGACTCCACATTGCATTTTCTCTTTGTGTATTTCTTGATGATTTATGTACAAACTTTTGTTCTTACGAGCGATGTTTGGCGTCACCAAGTTTAAAAACAAGAGCCGCGTTGAGTGGGAAACAGATTCGCTCTCCTCGAAACAGCGGCCTTTCGCTCTCCCGGGCGCTCTCCCTGGCGTACCGGACGGCGGAATACGCGGCACATATCTAGGCTTCTAACTATACGGAATATATGATTTAAGTCCTGTTTCCCTGACTTTTGTCTTTGTGCAGAGGAACTGGCCATGATTCTTTGTTTGTAAAAGTAGATATAAACCAGTTTTAGCTATTTTACATTTGTTATCAAGCTCGTGGATATTCACGAATCTTACTCCTTTCTTTTCATTGTTTCAACATGTTTGG